GGGTCTGAAGATATAAATTTAGTGGCGTTAGAATATAGATGGTATTTAAAGCTATGACACTGGATGAGATCACTTTGGGAGCAAGTTTGGATGGAGAAGAGGAAAGGCCCAAGCTGACCAACTTTTAACAACTGTCAAATAATAAAACAAAGACCCTCCCAGAGTCAAAAAAATAAAAAAAAGCCGGAGCTTATTAACATGTCAGGCAAGGAGAAATTCACTGGGTATTTCTCTAGGGAAGAAAAGTCAGAGTTTTTAAAGCCTTAAGAAGAGGGTTACATGGTGGTCATGCTAATTCAGAACTGGAAATCAGCACTTGGGGTAGGAGAGAATGAGTTCATAAGTCTGTACGTGCTTGGTTGAAACAAGTCCCTGCTTCATTCGTCGAGTCTTCAGTGAGGTCCAGGAAGGGGCTGGTATCCCGGGGTCACTTGACATTCATGATCATTGATCATGGGCAGCTGGTTAAAACCACTGTGATGAAATATTTAGCCATGAAATCTCCTAGGTGATTGCTGCTGGAAAGTGGAGAATGTTCCTTTTGTACAGCCTGGAAAATGGGGAGGATCTGGCAAAGAAGAGGAAAGAAGACCTGCCACTGAAGTAGGAGGCAAGGACGGTGGCAACCAAGGACCACGGGGTCACCAAGGTGTGAGGAATCCAAGAAGCACGCAGGGGTCAGCAGGGTCACATGCTGCTGAGAGGTCTAGTAAGATGAGGACCAAGACTGTCCATTGTATCTGCAACCTGGGCTGCCGGTGACCTTGACCTGGAGCGGTAGAGACAATCTGGATGTTATTGAGTTTAAGAGAAAATGGGAAAGAGAAAGTGGAGACAGGAGCATAGACAAATCTTTTAAGAGATTTAGCTGTAAAGGAGAACAGAGTAATGGGACAATGGCTGAAGAAGAGTGTGGAGGTCAAGGAAGTTGTTGCTTCTTTTCTAAGATGGTATACATTTGCTGAGGATGAGATTGACTTGGTAGAGGGGAGAAATTGTTGATGCAGGAGAAAGTGGGGACAATTGCAATAGCAGATTCCTTGAGGAGGGATGAGATTAGCCCCTAAGTGTAGAGGCTGCCACTGCTCACGAGTGTAGACAGCGTATCCGTTATAACAGGAGAGAAGGTAGCGTATACAGGTACCAATATCAGTAAGTTGGTAGATTTGCTTCTCTTTTCTCAATGAAATGAGAAACAAGATCACTAGCTGAGAATGTGGAGGGATGAGGGGAAGAGAAAGTTGGAAGTTATGGTGCTGGAGAGAAGGAGAGTGAATTGAGCCAGTCAGGGAATGCAGTAGGATTCCTGGGCAGTCCTGAGGGTCTTCTTGAGGTTTGCGGTCATGAATTTCAAGTGAGACTCACGTCATCATGGCGTATTCCTCCTCCTCTTCTCCTCCCCTCCTCTCCCACCACCACATTCCGCTGCTCAGGACAATTGTGAAGGAGGAAAGAGGCAGGAGTTGTGGTTGTTTGCTAGGGAATTATTACAGTGATGAACCTGGAATCTAAGCCAAGGACACCAGGGGGTGATGCACAGTGGAAAGATTAGTGTCAAGAGGTTGGGGGTTTCACTGCCTGGACACCCTGCAGTGTCTGGAAAGGGCTCAGGATATCACTAGGAAAAAAACACTAAAACACTCTTGTCTGTAGCCAATCAATAATGCCCCTGTCCAGAGTGCATTTCTTTACTCTTCTCTCCTTGGGGTCTTGGCCATTAGTGGTCAGTCGCACTTGGGCACCTGGAAACTCTTGCTCCTATTTTCCCCTTTCCTTTCTTTTCCACCCCTCCTCCCCAGGGTCCAAGATACACTCCACTTGAGCCAGCAGAGTCTTAATTCACACCTTCTTCCCACACGTCTGTGCTGCTGAGGCCCCTTTCACTCTATATCCTCACATTTTCAGGATGAAGCACCGAAAAGCCAAGCCTGTCTCTTGCTTAAATGAATTGCTTCTCATGGTATCGCTTTTCTCCTTGCTGGAAACCCCCTTCCCACCAGGGGTGAGTTAGGGGAGGATAGGGAGTGTGGAGGGAACCGAGAGCCTCTTCCCTGAACTTGCTAAATGCAGTACTTTCTTCTTTATATTCTAAATTTATGCATATTCTGTGAACTCACTTCTGTCTTGGTGCTTCCAATTTTATTTTGGCAAACAACTTCATTTACACAGGCTATGTTTTTCTTGGTCTTTATTTTTTCAGGTGAGGAGGCCCATCATTTTGGTTGATCCCTCCATTAGCTCCCCCAGCCTCAGGCAGCAAATCACTACTTACCTCCCTCTGGGGACCATGTGAGCCCAGCCTGCTGGCAGAAATTCCAGGAGTTCCTGTAAGGGCAGGATAAAAATTTCTGCTTTTTCTCCAGTATTCATCTTTGAAGTTGCCCAACAATTTATTGGCATTTTTTGGATATCAAATGCCTTAAGCTTATGTCTTTGGGAATGACCCACAATGACACCCATGGCTCCTTGCTAGGCTGTGACTCAACCCCCAGAGCCCTTCCTTTTGAATGATTTCAGATATTTTTTATTCCTGAATATATAATCTGGCCCTTGTCCATGTTAAATGTCATCTGTCATTTTGTGCCCACTCACAGATTCATAAGTGCTTCCTGAAGTCTAGCCCCATCTGCGTGGTGCTTCACATCAAAGAATTTAATACCATTCCCAGACTACGTGGTTAAGAACGACATCACCTGGAAACAGGGAAATATCATGTAGCCTTGATCTTCTCGTTGCTTCAAAATTACTTAAAATTTGAGCTACGCTGATGACTCAGACACAGGGATGCCAATTTTCATTCACATGGGGGGCATTACAGGGGGTTGGTTGTCAGAGTTCTCTCAGACCCCTCACACTGTTGCCCTGTCTAGAGCATACTCAGTGGTGACCTCTGACCTTAGCCATTGCCCTGTGGGGGCCCTGAAGCCCTGTAGAGAGCTGAGGACCACGCTGCACTAGTTTATGAGGGCCCATGATGGTGGTGGAAGGAGTGTGGGCTATCGCATTAGAGCAACCTGTTCTTTTGACTCTAATCTCCTGCCTACTGGCCACGTGGCCACAGACAGGGTGTCTAATCTCTCTAAGCCTCAATTTCCTTGGCTGCAAAATAAGGACAAATAATAGTACTTATTTACAAGGTTGTTGTAAGTGACTGTAATCACACGTTTAAAACACTTAGCATAGTGCCTGGTCCAAATGTGCTCAATTCATATTATTAATTTTTTAAAGATCTAATAAACTCAAAGCTGCTCCTAAGTAGATCTATGTGGCCTTGGGCCTCACCTCTCTCAGCCACATTGCCCGTCTATAAATTAGTTGATGTGAGGGTGAAATGAGATGGCTTCTCTCTGAGACTTACTAACACAGCTTCTGACCTATGTCAGCACATTTCATCTGAGCCATTTTGTAGAAATGCTACCAGAAAAATGTATCTGGTCACCAACCAATTCAATTCTGATCTCTTTAGCTCAGATATAAGGAGAGGAGTCAAAAACTCTTTTCTAGGTACTCAGGACCCAGCACTTGTAACTCAAACCTTTGGAAGGCAGAGATAAGAATATTTCTTTTGGGAAGGGCACCATAGGATACCCATCCTGTTCTAGTTGCAGGGGCACGTGGTCCTGTGGTCAGCTGTGCCCAAGTGCAGCACTTCTAGGTGAAACAGTGGAGGGATCTGGAAAGAAAAGGCTTCCGTGGTCACCCAGGACAGTTCTTTTCTGACAGCATGTGAAGAGGGGTTGATACTAACAGCAGGTTGGAGGCAGGAGAATAGGGCCTGGAGGAGCTGTCACTGGAGATGATGTGGAAGAGACGACAAAGTGCATAGGCTGGAAAAACGTTTCTGCTGCTGCTGCTTCCTTTTATTCTTTCTCTTCTTCCTCTTATTTCTCGTCACTAAGTCACTCCAGATGGTTTCAGAGTAGCAAGCCAGCCCGCTTATGGTAGAGCATGGCCTTTTGATGCTGGGTAAACTTGGGTTCAGTTCCCGATTCCATCGTTGGTTCCTCTGAGCCTCAGTTGTTGCATCTGTAAAATGGGATGATAATGCTTATCTCAGAGAGTCACTGTGAATACCATGTGAGATTATGTGCGTTAAGAGCCTAGTATGGTGCCTGGCCCATGGAAGCTTCAGAAGAATTCCTAGTTCCCTTCCTTCATTTCTCCCCCCACTCAGTCTTGCTACACATCTATCTACTAAACAGAATTGATTCTCAAACTCATCCTTCTTTAAGAGAAAAAGCTTTGCCTGCCATAAAACATTAGCAAATAGTGATTGAGTCAGGGATTTTCTGGGAAGAACTGCATAAGAGCATGCAGTGTGCGTTCATTTGATTTGTAGATATATTATAATTACTTTTCATCACACAAAACCCACTTGAGGTGCTGTTAAAGCAAAGGAATAAAGCTGCTTTTTTCTTTTTCTCTCAACCCTTCTTTCTCTCATGCAAATCAGAAACATTAATCCTTTGTGGCTCCCTGGACTCTTGGCTATAGGAAAACCCATCACTTAGCTTTTTTTTCCCTGAAAATAACATAATTGTCAAAAACTCATAACTTCTGAGTGTAATTTCAGCCCTCTCATTGATAAGGTAATAACCCAAGCAAACAACATTAGATGAAGTTATAAGTCTGAACATAAAGTAGAACGGAGGCATTATTTGGATGAGATGAAGTTCTCTACAAAGTTGCACAAATTCTTATAGGGAGAATAGACTTTGGATAGAGCTATTAGAACAAGCCATTAAGTAGCCTGGCTTCTAGTTCATCTCCCAGAGGTCTTTGGCACGCCCTTGGTCATTAGATCTGGCTGCCCTTGGTAGAAAATGTACACTGAATTCCTGAGGTCAATTCAGTCTACTAGTGGCACAGTCTTTTTTTCCTCATTTTCCAATGGATGTGATGAAAGCCCTTTAGAAACTTTCTGTCTAATCAATATGAGTGACAGCTGAAAGACACATCCCAAGCAAGTGGATCAGTATTCTCTTTGTTTTTATGTTCAGGTCACAGCTCCTCGGAATCACCGACAAACCTGCCTTCTCTTCCTCCTGATTCTGTTGCATGGAATCTGACCTGGATAATGAAAGATTCCTTCCCTTTCCTGTCTCATCGCAGTCGATATGGTAAGTATGCTTTTGGTACTTATTTGTGATGTGTGGTCACCATCTCAGTTTGTGACTCATGGCTCTCCAGGATCACTTAGCCCCTTCTACAGAGGAAGTCCTTCTGTGCTCTTTGTCTCCACTGGCACCCAGCTCTACTGAATCACTTTAGCCAGACCTGGCCCCTCCAGACTGACAGCTGCATCCTGTATCCTGGAGGGAGCCAAGGGCTTTGTTGCTGCCGGATCCCATCCCCCAAGCCTTTATGGTGTATAGTATTCCTGACATCTCCTTATCAATCATTAGATGCAGTGCTTCTTTGCATTTTAACTGGTTTTCTAAATAGAGGGTTCTAACTCATGAGTGTTTCTAACGATGGTAATCTCTTGAGGGAGGATTGTTATTATGAGGGTCACGGGTCTTCCAGGACCCCTCAAGTGACTCTCTTACATTTGGCTAGCTCCTTAAATGTACCCAGGCATGTTCCTAGATATTATTTCAGCTCATTTGATTCTGCAACAACCTTGGAGGTAAGGAGGCCATCACATTCCATTTTTACAGATGTAGAAACTGAGCTTAATCAGATCACAGAGAGTGGATTCTCTAACTACAAAACCGGAATTCTTCCTTTACGTTGACTTTTTCTCCCAGGGGCCACCTACTCAGCCTGCTAGGTCCTAGCAACCTTCAGGAGGCCATATTTACATGGTGTAGATTCCTCATTCTCCATGCTCATCCTAACAGCTCGTGGGAGCTGGACCTCTGTAGAGGAAAGAGCAGGTTTGGAGGAGAGCTAATGTATTTCCGGGTGGACAATTTTTCTTCTCTTGAACTCCTCTGGAGTGAACCCCGTGAGGGCAGACACTAAGCTGTGTTTACTCCTCACTTGATCCCATCACATAGAAGACACTCTTAGAGGTTGTGCATGATGAATTGTGAGAAGGCCTCCAGGGATGGAACTCACTCATCAGCCTGATTCAATTAAGTATTTATGAACCCAGTACAGCACTGAGTTCTAGATTCCCTTCCAGGCATATTTACCTATTCCTGATGCTCACTCTCTGCCCTTGGGCCTGAGCTTTTAAAAATGCACCTAACAGAGATCTTCCACTCACTGCTGTCCCGCATCCATAATGTGATTAGTCTCGGTTGATAATAGCTGTACCTTTCACTTCAAACTTAAAAGAATAAATGCATGAAAAACCCTAGGGCAGTTTAGGATTATATTCTGCTAGGATGTTTCCTCGTACTTTTAAGCCTCCCCAGTGGGAGAGGAAGATCAGTAGTTGTCAGGATATTTCAGATAAGAATTACTTCTTGATTTTATTTAAGCCAGACATTGAGTGTCATCTTATAAGGGCAAGTGTCTATAAATAATTGAAATCTAGTCCTTTGTATTGTTATTGCCTTCTAACCAGATTTGTGATAAAACCAGACTTTGGATAAGATTTTTGAATTTGCTCTCAAAGTCATTCAGTATCTCCACAGCAATGACAACTTTTATAAAATGTAGAATGTCCAAAAAAGGCAGGTCTACCTCCTGCATAACACAGACGGCACTGTATTTGTTCTCTGAGGAGCATCCAGAAAGGTTACAGGTTAACAGGAGAAAGCCACTGGAGTTTATTAAGCTGCTACCTAACGCTGCTTGGCCCTGATATACCTACTTTCTCTCACTGGGCCCCATCTTTCTTATCTGTAAGGTGAAAGTGGAGTGTCATGATGCCTAAGGGCAAAGGAGTAAATCTGGAAGATTCCCAAGATCCCTTTTAAACTCTCCTTGTGGCCTAGAATCCTCATGGTCTCCCTTCTTGGCAGAGGAGAGGACCCAAACCATTGGCCAGATATTGCCCAAATGCTCAGTGAGTGCCAAATTGCCCAAATGCTCGAGTAGGGTGCCAATCATTATTGCTATTGATTCACAGGATGAGAAGAGCTGATTCTTAATTGGTGGCTCCTTGACTGACTGTGGTGGTAATTTCAGAGCCTTTCCATCTTCTCACTCTATTTAATTCAGCTGAGACTCGTGAAGACCTACCTGCCCCCACCACCACCTCTGTGTGCTTTGTCCAGTGCCAGATGCCAGAGGTGATACAAATACACAACTTGGTCTTGCTCTCTCAGAGTTCATAGGCCAGAGAAATAATTCTGGGGGCGGCTAGGCCCATTGCCACAAAAAGTGCCTCTGGGGGCTAACCCCAGAGCACAGAGGTTGAGGACTCACCCCGAGACCCTTGCAGAGCAAACTGAAGACCAAGACTCCTGTCCCCTTAAGGATGTTTGTGAGGGCTCGGCCCACATGTGTCTACGAAGCAAAGAGGCCAGCAGACTCACTGGTGATAAATATACACCTTTCAACTGCCATGAAAGACATTTTAAGAAATGTTAACAACTTCATTAATTTTAAGGCTCAAACTCGGGCAGAGAAATTTGACTGGAAAATCGCCGCCTGAACGACTAGTTCTTCAGACAGCGAGAAGTAACCAAGTCTCAGCAAGCTGATGTAGGCACTTGAGTGGTGGAGCTTTGTGCCTGGCTGGCTGTCTTCACTTGAGTTCTGGGGAGAAGGCAGGAGGGGGCGACAGGAGTAGCCATCCACAACCAGACCACAGGCATCATGATGGACAGTGGCGGCCCAGCCCTCTCAGGCAAGCTGTCCAGTCCTGAATTGAGTATAGCTTTCTTTTCACTGGTGTTTTATGAGAAGAGACAAGGTGGAGAGAGGCTAATAAGATTTACTCACCCCCAGCCTGTAATTATCTGCTTGAGGAAAAAGATTGACCTATCTTTTTGAAGTCTCCCCATATTTCTTCTAATTTACATTGGGGCCTTTTATGTTGTGTAAAATATATTCTCTTCAGTGGCATTTGGTATCAGATTCCAGCTCTTTCTCGCCTCTTGTCTTGAATGATGGGAGCCTGCTAATTTTATCATCAACAAGCAGAGAGCCGCACATTCTTCCTCCAAGGCTTTGAAGGAGGGAGGACATCTAAAGAAAGACTTTTTTTCCCTTTTTTCTTCAGTTCTGATGCCTTAAGACTTATTTATAGGCTTGACTAAAGGACTGGGCTCTAATTACCTACCCAGATAAAAATCTGTTCCATTCAGTAGCTCCAGGTGCTAGGAGATTGAGGCCACTGGGGTTTTGATCACCTTGAGTTCTAGATCCACAGAAGCAGATGTATCCTGCCCAATTTTAACTCATGTTTGCCCACTCTGGGTGTGGGAAGAATCAGATCAACACTTAGAATAATCAAAGGTTCTGCCTCAGATGAGGAAGAGAAAGAGAACTTTCACTTATTGAAAAAAATGTTTAAGCTTGTTATAAAATTGTGATGGGTGGAAATTACTTTGTATCCCATTTTTATAGAAATGTAAATTGGGGGCCAAAGAAGTTTATTAATGTGCTTCCAAGTTATGGAGCAGGTGAGCAGTTAGACAAGATGGAACTCAGATTTTTCTGACTCCAAGTTGAGTGCTCTTTCTAAACATCACAAAGTTAATTCAAAGAAGAATTTCCCCCTCTGTGGAGAGTGCTCTCATTTCCTGGACAACCTGGTATTTGGACTGAATGACGAGTCTGATATCTAAGATTTTGGGCAATTATAGGACCAAGACTTGATGTCCCCAAACTGGACTATCCCAGGCGGGCCAGGTAATTCGCCTCTTCCTAATCATGAGTATAGGCCCCCTAGGCACCATGGGCAGTCCTGTCTTCCCCATAGTAGACTGTGGTCCCTGTCATGTGTTGAATTGTGTCCTCCAAAAAGATATATTGAAGTTAACCCCTAACACCTGTGAATGTGACCTTATTTGGAAATAGGGCCTTTACAGATGCAAGCAAGTTGAGTCCATACTGGATTAGAGTGCCCCCTAATCCAATATAACTGGTGTCCTTATGAGAAGAGGAAGTAGACACAGACACACAGGATGAACGCCATGTAATGATGGAGGCAGAGATTAGAGTGATGCATCTACAAGCTAAGGAATTCCAAGGATTGCTCTAATCCAGTATAACTGGTGTCCTTATGAGAAGAGAATACAGACACAGACACACAACCACAGAAGCTAGGAGAGAGGTATGGGACAGACTTTCCCCTAGGAGAGAGAGCCAGGCCCTGATGATGACTTGATTTTGGACTTCTGGCTCCAGAACTATGAGAGAATAAATTTCTGTTGTTTTAAGCCAGCCCCAGTTTGTGGTACTTTGTTATGACAGCCCCAGCAAACCAATACAATCCTTCATCCCTCTAGTCCTCCAGTGTCCAGAACCTTGACTCCTGGGGAAGAAAGGTTTCTCCCAACATTCCAACATCAGAGCACACCAAAGCCATTGCTGGACTTTAAATAAAAGTTCTATTAACACTTTGTCTGCTTTCAAGCCCATGGGGACCCATCCAATTTAGGGGCTGGTGTCTTGGAAAGAAAGAAAAATTAGGCTTTTTAATTACTTTCCCAGCTGCCAAAACCACCATCACCAGTCCTGTTAATGTATCAATTTTTTTGATTGAAAAGACTGGGTAAATTAAATCTCTCTCTCTCTCAAAAAAAGTCAACCTACCACAGAATCAAAAACGGAAAAAAAAAGACCCTCCAGCCCCCTATGGGATTTGCTTCATAGCTCTGGCAGGAAGTCAGCTTGATCACATTTCTGAAATTACGTATTTAATGTGGCTGGCCGTGATCAGCCGTCCACCCTCAAGAACCTGGCATCAGTGAAAAGCAGCTCCCAGCTCCCTTGTGGACCATTGTCACGGCTAAAAGCTTTCTTACCAATTCCGCTGCCCTAACAGGCCTGTGTTCTCTTCCCAGCCTTGCTTCATTGAGCTGGGATGTCAAGTTCTTTCCCAGTCCATGCCTCTGTATTTTTATCTACAACATGGTAAGCAAAAAGCCTCTGGATATATATATCAAAAAAGCTGAGTCGCAAAGGGGACAGCAATGACAGCTGTCATACAGGACCAAGAAGACTGAGCATCCGTCACTCGGAGAACCACTGACCTTCTGGGAGCCAATGAACT